GCTCCAGCAATTACTACTTCTCTAGGTTTGTAAGTACATGTAACTAACGCTCTGACTTCAGTTTCCTCTTCTGTGAAATGAGAATAACCATGTGCCCCAGAGTCGTCATGAAATTCAAATCAGTTGATGTGGGTAAAGAGTAATGTGTAAACCATAAACTAAATAAATCTTTTGGGTCTTTTGTGGGGGGTGGAGCAACCTCTAGATGTCTTCCTGAAGAGCGGTCTATGACAGTGCGCTATACTTGCTCAAAAGCCATGCATGGTTATCACTCCTGACTTTGGATTACAGGATCCAAACGAATTAGTCAGCAACTAGACAGCACTTTGTCAGCATATGGTCACACGCAAAAGTTGGTAATGCAAGCAAGGAGGTTCATGGCCAGCCCAGAACAGTACATCTAAGCGGCAGGGCCACCCTGACCTGGAACATAGGCTGAGCACTCCCAAAAGAAATGCTCCCAATAAATTCCCCCTGTCTTAAACTAGCACCCAAACCACATGACTCATTCTCTACCTTAGTTTCCATTTAGTTCCTCGTGGACTCCTCTGTTTATCCTCTAATGTGTGTCCTTGACTTCTCTCCTGTGCTACATACACGTGCCCATCTCTCCTGGCTCTGACCACAGCTTCACCTCTTTCTCTGGGGTCACACCTTAGGAGACACCCCTCCCAAATCAGCCTGGCCCCTGAGTCTCCAGAAACTCAGACATTATACCACGCCCTTAGATAATTCTTGTTCATAGGCAAGGCCTGCAAATAATCCTTCAGTTTTTCCTAACCAGTTTCTAGTGATGGATTATAGCCACTCTAAACAATGTCTAAAGGATTTGAAGATTTTGCTTTGTGTGTGTGTGTGTGTGCAGTTAATTGTAATGGCCTTCGAGCATTTCTGAATCTAATTATTAGGAATTTGAAAAGAGAAAATAACATGGGCCTTTGGAAGTCTGGCTGGTTTAGCAGAGGCTGCAGGCCACAGTTTGAATGTAAACATCTCTCCCTGCACTCTCACCTCAAGGTCAGCATCTTCCAACTCACACTCATAACCAGGTAAAGAAGGAAAGGAATCTTGGCAGGAAGAGAACATCTCAGCCCATATCCCTTTGAGAAAGGCATGGACTGCCATGATGGGAACATTAGTTCAAGTCAAAGCAAGCATGTTGAAGTCTAAGCGCCTGGAATAAAGGGGTAGTGGCCCCTCCAGAGCGCCTACCGGGGGCACATGGCCTCTGTGCCCCCACTCATTCCGTAAGAATCACATTCAATGAGAATAATATTTTCTAGTAGAAGCATTTACTTAAGGTCCTAGACCAACCAAAGCACAAACTCAGAAAGAACAAGGCAAAGGCAGAGAGGGATTTTGACTTCTAAAGTTAAAGCTGAGTGCCAAGAGAACTCACAGGAAATTTGGCTGAGGTTTGAGGGTTTGATTCAGAGAGTAAATAAAATGACATTAATCTGGGAGACTCTAGAATCCCACAGACAAATTTATGTTCATAGTTTTTTTATATGTACTTAATCTGAAAAGCAAAAAGGGGGAATCCTTTGAGGATGACAGAATTACAAAATGGGTTCGTTCATTCAGCACAGATTCACTGAGTGCGAACAAAACCTAAGTAAATTATAGAAAGTGATGCAAGTGGAACAGTAGGGAAGTTATTTTAGATGAAGAGGTAAGATTAAGCATTCATCATTTTTATAAAAATAATGAAATCACCGTTCTTTAGGGGGGATAAAACTCAAATAGATACATAAATAGCAATGCATGTCCTATGATTAGCAAATTATCCCTTGTGTTTTCCAAGGTTTTCTGGAAAATTACCTTATTCCCCCCAAAAAATGCTTATTTAAAAAAGGGGGGTGAGGAGGAGAGGAAAACAGGCAGATACAGAGAAAAAGGAACAGGGATACAGAGAAAGAGAATAGGCTTCAGACTTAGAAGGACACAGGTAAGAATTACACTGAGCTTTTAAGACAGGTAAGAAATGCATTTCACAAAAGAAGGAAGGGCAGTGGTGTTTAGGATTAAAGGCCCAGAGGCAAGTCCAAGAGGTAATTAGTGAGTGACACCTTTCAGCCAGGACAACGCTGTCCACATGGGCATGAATGGGCTCAAATGGGAGACAGGACAGCACAGAGTTAAGGCCAGAATGAGGAGAAACTTGATACCCATGGTAAAGACTTTAGGCAATGAGGTAATGGTGAGCCTTTGAGGGTTTCCAAACTAAGAAGTGACCCCATGAAAAGACTGCCTTAAGGTCATTTGACAGTGAATATTCTCAATGTCTATTAAGGTTTCTTTGCCTCTTCACCAAAAACTCCAAAATCTAATTATACAGTTGGACTCTTTGCCTGTTCTCTATCTTTATTTACATACCATATCAACAGACAAACTCAATTGTATCTATAAACTCTATCTTGCCTGCAAAGTCAATTCCCTGACTTTCCCAGCACCTACACCTCAGCCTTCCTTATCTTCTCTTTCTTTCCTCTCTCTTTCCCTTCCTTTCTAGACATGGGCAATCATCACTTCCAACTGAACTCTCCTTTACAGACTTGAGAATCTACCCCTTGAGATAGCTACCAACAACCCCCAAGTTCAGGCTCTTCTGTGATGAAGAGGAGAACAGCAGTCCCCTAACTGGCGTCCCTTCAGCCAGTACTGCTGGCATCTAACTCATTCGGCACACAACACCTGCTGGTACGTGTTTTCAAATACCCCACTCCTCGTGTCTCTGTCCTCAGCCAGGCTCCACTCTCTGCCAGGAGTGGCCTGTCAGCCCTCTCAGCCTGGGAAGTCCATAACTTTCTTTTAAGATCCAGCTCAAATTCAAGCCACATTCTCCAGGCATGTAGTCACTCTCTCTCCACCACACTCTCAGGACTCTTGATAAACACCTCCATACGGCGGGATGTATTTACTGTGACTGTTGACTGGTGCTCCCCCATTAGACACTAGGTCACTCTAAGGCAGAGATCATGTCCTGCTTACCTTTGGATCCCACCATCCAGCATAATACCCGGCCCAGTGTGTTTGCTGAATTAAACACACTGAACAATGTCTTATGTCAAAAAATAAAAGGCTATTCCCCTGGAAGCTCTGTCTTTCCAATGACCTACTCAACTTCTTCATTCATTTTATGAATTCCCCCATTATCCATACAACTCACACAGACAAAGTATTTAACAAGTCATTGGTGATCTGGGCTGATCTACAAACTCAACCTGATACATCACTCACCACTATGCACATTGTTTTCAAGAAACACTCAACCATCTAGTTCTCTGGACATATAATCCTCTCTTACTCCTCTCTGCCTCTATACCAGCTGTTTTATCTTTCTGACTGCCTGTCTACCAAGGAAATTTCCATTTATTCTCTAGCTTTTGTCTGGTTGCTGTCTCCTTAGTAAAAGCCAGCTCTAACTTCCTTCTTTCCTGGTTTCCTGGACCCAAGAACACCTCCCTCACCACACTCATTACTCTATGCCAGATCAGTTTTTGCTTTATCTGTTTCTACCACTACTCTGTAAACTCCTTGTTGTGTTTAGTTCTGTGTTCCCATTGCTAAGGCTCAGGGCCTAGAGGAGGGGGAAGAGGAGAGGGAACAGAAGTAACAGCCACTGATGAGCACCTCCGTTACGAAGCATTGTTCTTAGCAAAGTACACAGATTACGCCTTTAAGGTGGGTATTCCTATTAGGCCTACCTTCATGGTAAAACGAAGAGAACAGAAAGGTTAAGAACTGCAAATCTTACAGAAAAAAAAAAAGGATTGCAAATTTAGTCACAAATCCAATCAGTGAAGATGCCCGAGATCTTAATCCAGGCAGCATGGCTACCCATTAGTCTATTGGCTTTCTGGAGTGGTGTCAGCAAACCTTCTCTGCCAAGAGCCAGATAGTAAATACTTTAGGTTTTGTGGCCTGTTCAGACTCTGTCACAGCTCCTCAACTTTGCTGTTACAGTGGAAAAGCAGGCATAGCCAACATGTGGCTGTGTTCTAGCAGGAGTTTATTTCACAAAAACAGGTGGCAAGTCTGACGAGGCCTGTAGTCTAGTTTGTTCATCTAGAAATTCAATAAATGTTCATCAGATTAAATTAGATCTAACAATGTTGGAAACCAAAACCTTCTTTCTGTCCTCAAATGATTACCTTCTCTTATCCAAAAGCTGTCTGCAGTTGCAGCCTTTAAGACATTACGTGGCAGGCAAACATGCTGTAGGCACATGGTAACCAGTTGCAGAGCTGAACTCAATGGGATGGAAATGGGGCCCTGAAGCTGGTTTTTGTGCTAAGCTCCCACCCCTCAACTCTACCTCAAGAGACTACTGGATCTTAGCTAGATATTCCTGCCCACAGCATTGACCTCCCAAAAAGAGAGAACCTTTACTTCTAAGAAGAGAAGCCACTCCAAGGCTCCATCCTGTATCTCCAACCCTGACCTGGCCACCATCTTGGGTATCTGATATTATAGTATACAAAAATTATCACTTGAAAGCAGCAGGCAAACAGAAAAAGCTCCCATACTTAAGTGGGCCACAAGTTTCAACCTATGCCGTACAGACTTCCTGGTGCCTAGAATGTTGTTCCAGAGCAGTTACAAGCACTGCTCTAACCTAGACCTTTCTATGTAAGTGGTACAATAATCAGAAAAATGACTATGGGTGGCAGGACCGGGGGAAGCATGGAAGATGGAAAAAAAAACAACATTGAATTGTGAACTTCTAGAGGGCAGAAAGTATGTACTATTCACCTTTTCCAGGCCAGAAAACCTGGCATATAGTAGACCAGGAAATGTTTGTTGATGAATGAATGAATGAATGAATGAATGAATGAATTTAATGAAGTCAAGAATCTAGATAATCAAGTCTGCCGAAACACACACAGGCTCCACATTCCCTCATGCATGCTTCCAAATCGGTAAGACCCATGGGGAAGATGGAAGCCTTCCAGCTGTGAGTGGGGGAAGAGCCCATGCCCTGACCCAAGCAGACTCACCATCTTGAGTGTTTGGACTGAGGATCTGGGTCCGGAGTTCCCACAGGCTGATGCCCAGACACCTGCAGACCTCCTCAGGGCTGTAGGGCTCTGGGTGAAGGGCATCCTCTGTGATCAGCAGCATTTCTTCCAGACTGACTCCCAGTCTGGCCTGCACCTCCTCCAGCCGCAGTGCTGCCTCCCACGGCAAGCCCTTGTGCTTAGCCAGGAGCTGCAAGTTCAAACCAAGTTAACGGTCAGTTTTCATGTCAGAAATTGATACGCACTATTTTAATGGGCCAAATTCAGCTTGAAACTTTTTTTTTCCATTCAGTCTATCCACATTTCCCACCATTGCTTGAAAATGCATTCTGGGTTCACATGTTTGAAATTAAATATGCCTGTGTCATACTCACAGCCTAGTTAAGTATTTTTCCTAAAAAAAGTTAAAAAATAAAAAAACCGAATCCCCCACTGAATTTTCTGCCTGTCACCACTTTCCCTCAGGGCTAGTTCTTTGAATAATTGTATTCTTTTCCTCCCTGTTGTGCTCACCCCTAACACATCGCTCTCTATAACGGCTACAGAAAACTACTCAAATCTCACATGATCTGGTCCTGAGGTGGGCACTGTACGCCTAATTTCATTAGAGCACTTCCTGTTTACGACATGCCTCTTTGAAATGGCTAATGAGTTTAAGTATCTGGGTGTTTGGAGTCAAGCCCCAGATTTTAAATGAAAACCTCTTTGGTGACTTTATGAAAAACCACCTCATCAGGTTGTTGGTAGTGGTAGAGCTGTATGTTTCTCCACCCCTGAGAAAAGAGTTTAAAATCCAGTTGCATCTCGAGGTACCCCCTCAATCTGCAGGGGAAGGTTAGGTACAAACCAAACCTTTCTAACCAGGTCCGCTCATGGGAGCCACGATCCAGAATGCATGTCCCTCATTCTCCCCAAACCGCTGATCGAGCCCTTCAGAGCAGGTGATGATCAAAACAGTGAAAATCTCTCTCACCCGAGGTCTATAAAATTCATTCCCAGGATGTGAGTTCTGCAGGTGCAGACAGCACAAACAGCAAAACAGAGCAAGCAAAAGAAGGGGAAATGTGTATCTAATTTACTCTTCTATTATGCTGATGATTGGATTTTCTCTCTTTTTGACAGGAAGTAGGATTTGCCAAAAGACCATTGTACTCGGGTTAGGGCCACTCACTTCTGAAGAATGTTAATAACAGTAGTTCTTATTTTCATTAATCCTCCCTTGAAAACTCTGGCTCATACACTTGAAAGGAGTTAATGATTGTTAAGGGAGAACTGGGGAAAGAGACAATAGAATTACATTTTTCTGTTCAGTTATTTCGCAGAACATGCTACTGCTTTTAAAACAAGGATACCAGTTAAGACCTTTCTTCTGACCTTGTTTTCTTAGCTAATATTTATTAGCAGTGCTGGACTGACACCTCCAACAAACTGACTCACTCACTCATTCATTTAACTCATTCATTCATGGTCTATATTCCAATGTATTTCAAAAGTAATTTGAGAAAATGTATAAAGACATACATAAAACCAAAGAAAAACATACAATATATTTATTTCATACAGAAAGCTGAAGTGGAAGAACTCCTAAAGCAGTAGTTTCTCAAAATATAGATCCAATCCAACTGAGCGAGGCGACGAAGCTAACAGAAGCAATTCATACTTGGATACTGCTGTATGATTTAAAATGTGCTTTTTATTTCTTTTCATCTTTGACAGCTCTGAGGGATAGGTATTTTTACTCTATTTAAGACATGAGAGTAAGTGACTTGCCTGAAGTCACCTAACCAGTTAGGAACAGAGCTGGAAACTTAACCAGGCTCCTGTACCTCTCTCTTGCTTCCCCAAGGCCACGTTCTCAGTGGGCTGTGGTTGATATCTATTTCATGATACTGGTCTTAGTTCCAGTCACCACTCAATTTCTAGAAATGGTTTCTAAACATAAACCAAGATTTGTGTTAGAAGTGAACACTCCTTGATTCCAAACACTTTGAGATGAGTTCTTTCTAAAATAAGAAGGAAAAGGAAAAAAAAAAATCAAAGAACAGCCTCCAAGTGATGAGAGTGGGCTCTTCCTAAGATCCTTTCAGTGACCACCATCTCTAAGTACCCATCCCTGGCCTCACTGGAACAAGTCTCATTGCCTCAGGCACTTGCTCCCAGGAAACTGACCCAGGATTGTGTGGGGAGAGACCCTTTGGAGGATGCCTGCTGCCTACAAAGTCATTTCCAAAGGCAGCCTCCCCATGCGCTTATGTTCCACAGGCAGAGGCGCGAACATTCACTCCAGTGATATCCCAGTTTGCTGTTGGGTCCGCTTCGCCCCCAGCTGGAGAGTCCACACAGCCAATTTCGTGTGTTTTTCAGTTAAGGATGAAATCTACCACGTGCCCTCAATGACAGCTGCTCAGCCATTACTCCCACCTTGTGGGAGTAAAATAGGAAAGCCACTTAAGCCCTTTGAAATTTGGCTCAGGAAACAGAAAGATGACTTGCAGATGGGGGAAGCAGGAGAGTAAGATCTGTTGCCCAAAGGCAACTTCATGAGGGAATTTGCCTCTCACAGCCCTGGTGGCTGGCCTACTTCACATCTGTGAAGCGGGGCTGGGGGTCAGGACTACGAGCCATTTTGTGACAAGTTCCTCACTCAGCAGCAGGGTGGGGCTATAAGAGAAAACAGCTCTTTGTCAACATCCACCATTTTCTTTTCACCACTGCCAAACATGAAGTGTTCATGTGAGATACTGTTCCCGGGAGGTTACTGAGCCTGGCTGATGCTCTGTGGACAAGAAAGCAGGCAACGACTACTGTGTCCACAGTCACAGAAAGAGGTAGATAAATAGTGCTAGGATCCCATCTGAGGTGGTTTCTCTCGGATGCAGGTCCTAAGACAAGAATCTGGGGGAGAGGGTGATACCAAGAAGTGCTGGTAGAGCAGCAGAAAAGGAGACAGGGAGACAAGCCATGGTATGGGAGGTGACGCTGGGCCCCCTGTATGTACAAACTTCAGATGTGTCCTACTCACAGGCAAGAAAGCTCAGGTATTTACCCACCAGCTCTCATCCATCATCGTTTGAGGGCCGATTCCAAGGGTATTAGGTCTGTAGACCTCCAGGTTGCCCCAGGTGCAGACTAAGCGCTCTCCTGCAGCTAGAAATCGCCCTCAGTCTGAGGGTGACTGGGGCTTCCAGGAAGAGGGTGTGGCAGCAGAGTGCTAAAATATGGACCCAACTCAGGAGTCTGTCTGTCAGAACCCAGCCCTCTCTGACTTCTTCACTGCATTTCGCAGGGACTAACAAATCAGCGTGAAATGGATCAAAGGATAACATTTCGAATCCCTTCTCTGACAAGCTGTTTTCCGTGCAACAAAAGCAGCCATGATGGTGTTGTTTCTGGTTCTCTAAATCACACGTGCTTTTTTTTAATATTTGAAAAAACACATAACAATTTGAAGTTTTAAAAAAATTACAAAGTAAATCACCTATAATCATCTCAATGAGATAATCACCAGTCTCTCTTCTGATCACCGTCCTACATCACACGTTGTTTATACATACTGCATGCATACTACACACCTATAGTTTGACATAAATGGGACCATACATAGCTGTTTTATTGTGGATACTTTTTTTTGTTTACCTCCCCCTCGCCCCCATCCAAATACACAGAGCCATTCCCCAGTGACTTCCATGTCCATGTTCCGCTCATAAGCATCATAAACACATTCACAGCATTGACCTTCCCCCGTGTCAGCCATTCCCACTCTCAGCATTCTCTGTGTTAGTTTGCAGGTCACAGAAGAAATGTGAAGAAATCTGCATGTCTGTGCAGAATGGCTCTGCTACAGTCCTCCCTGCATCAGCACCACCTGTCTTTTCTCTAAGGGACCCCCAAGCATCGTGCTCTGGATCTCATTCACATCTAACTCCCCAGGAGTGCAATGGGGAGAGCAGGGGTGAAGACAGACCTGGACTCCTGCACTTTCTTGAAATAAGCCACAACCTACCTTGGAAATTCTCACTTTGTAAAAATGGGAAACCTAATGGCTACTTCAACAACTACTGTGAAGATTAAATAAGATAATAATAAAAGCATCTAGTACCTTGTCTGGCCCAGAAGAGGCCCTCTGTGAGGGTCCAGTTTTCAGACCTCTACACAGTCCCCGGCCTCGCTAGCCAGTTCTCTCCCACCTGGCACCTCTTCCCACACCTTCAAACATACACGGATGTTTCCTGTCTTAAAATTCTTATTCCTAAAGTTACTGCTCTTCATTCCTCCTTCTCTTTCACTGTCCAACAACTAGAACCAGCAACCCATAGACATCGCTTCCAAGCCCTCGATGGCCACTCTAACTATTGAATATGGCCTCCCAAAGGTCCTTCTTCTCTCCAGAATCACTTCTAAAGCCACTGGGTTTTTCTTGGGCCTCTTATTTCTTAATGAATCAGTGGCTTCGGGCACTCTTCACTACCTACCTTCTTCAAACTCCCCGTTGTATTGGCCTGTGTCGCACGGAATTTTCCTGGTTTCCCTCTCACCTCTCTGGTCCTTATATTTCCATCCATGACTCACTTTTCTCTTTTCATTATTATTGAAGCCATCTCCCAAGCTTAAACCCTGGCCTTCTGATCTTCTCTTGCCACATTCTTTCCCTCAGCAAACTTAACTCAGTCCTTGGTTTCAACTATTATCTTAAAACAAATACACCTGAAGGCTATAACCCTAGCCAAGATATACATTCCAACCTCAAATTTCTAACCATTTATAAGAAAATTCCATGGGGAAGTGTCAGCACCTCCTACTTTCTTAGCACCTACCAGCCTACCTTCCCCAAACCTATCAATGGCAGGACCATGCTTTCCACCCATCATTTCAGCTTAAAACTACAGCCCTTACTGATCCAACACTTAGCCTTCACTTGTGCACCTCTGCGTGCAGCACATGCTCGCTGAAGTGAAGAAAGCACTCATGGCTCCTGACGGTAGGGAGCTTGCAGTCTACCCGAGCAGACAGGCATCAATCAAGTAATAATTATACAGGGAAGAACTTACTTCATTCGTGATCATCAGTTATCATGGAAAATGCAGGCTGTGGCAAGAGAATATACAACGGCATTTAACATAATGGAGGTGGGGAGGGTTGTCAGGGAAAGCTTCCTCCAAGTAATGAATGGCATTTATGCCGAAAGGAAGACAGAAACCCAATCAGAGAGCCCTTTACTAGGCCCTTTACTAGGTCCAGTCAGAACTTCTTGCATATCCCTCCCTTGTTATCCCACCCCCAATAACACTTTAAGACCCACTTCCCTTCTACCAAGCAGAAGTTCCTGCTGCCAGATTAATATTTCAAAAATACCTTGCTAACAACATGAGCTTCCAGGACGCCCGCTTCTGGGACCAAGCCTGGGTGCTCCTCAGCACAGCACTGAAGACCCTACCACAAGCTGTCTCCACCACACACATCAGCCCTATTCCCCAGTGTGCACCTGCTCCGTCCGGCAGCTGGGGCTCACCGTCCTGGGAATACTGCACACCAGCGTTCTGGCAGCGCGAGCTTGACTAAGTCACCAGGCCGAGTGAAACTGGCTAGACTCCTGGATATTTGGGTTTTCTCCACTCAAATTCAAGGAAACTGCAAAAGCCCTGAGAATATTATACCCACTTCTCCTCGCCAGATAGAGAATAAATTCCACATTGACCACTAAGTGGCAGGAGCTAAAAAACTGGGTGAGTGATGGCCCCCGACCAGACAGGCTCTGTGAAAAATCACACTGTCAACTCCTCTTGAAAGGACCACATGAAACTCTCTCATTTCAGGCTTCACATGTCGCCACAAGGAGCTCGGGGTATGCAAAATGCAACAGCATCATTTCTCTTCCCTTTCTGACTTCCCATAATACTTATCAGCATCACACATTTCATCCCTCAGTATAATTAAGGGATACTCTCTTTTATAGACAGATAACATCTTCTCAGGAAAAGTTAAAGCCACTGATTAAGTGTAAAATACTAAAAAAACATTATGCTCATTAAAGATTTCTGGCTACTTTGTTAATTTAAGAACATAAAAAATGTGCTTCACTTAAAAGTATTATTTACGCAAGTAATAATTATAAATCTTTATTGTGTTTGCTTTGAAATGTTTTAAATTTTAGTTCAAATGCCTCTACAAGACTGAGCTTTAATGGATCTGCATCAATCAGCCTGGGGAAATTATTAGAAAGAGAGGAGGGGAAGGAAGACAGAGAGGGAGAGAAAGGGGGAGGCTTGAGAACAGAAGAAACGATCAACATTAAAGCAAAACCAAAAAAATCATCTTTACTGGTTTAGTGTTACCTCCCTGTGCTAAGTACATACAAAAGGTATTAATTTTCACAAAGAGAGCCTGGAGAGAAAGGAGGAGAGGAAAAACAAGTGTTATTTATTCCAATTTGCCATGTGGCACTCTGCCTAATCAGTCTCATTTTCAGAACTATCCTGATTTGTCACTTCTCCACTGACACCTTGTTTTTATTACCTGAAAACAGTAACTTTGTTCAGATTAATTGCTTCACTTTTTCACATGGGCGTTTATTTCCTGATTTAATGAGGCCATTTCCACACAAAAAATTATATTCATTCACATGGAGCTGAAAATGGAAAAATGGCACCATATTGTTAGGAAAATATGCTTAGCAGAATTCTAGCCCACATTCCTTAGGCAAGAACACATTCTTTACATCAAGATCTACGTGTGTAGAAGCACTATGCTGTACACCAGGAATTGACACAACATTTCAAACTGACTATACTTCAGTAAAAATAAATATACAGAGATCTATGCATGTAGCCCATATTAGGAGTTTTATCTTTATTTCCCTTTTGTATATAACCTTGGATTCTATGGATTTGCAGCAACATGATTTAGAACACATTTTCCACCTTGATAAAGCCTCTCACTTTTCTTTTCTTCTCTCTCACTTTTCTTTCTTCCTCTCTCACTTTTCTTTCTTCTGTATTTTAAAAGAGAGAAAAATTCAGAGTACTTAAAATAATGTGCTTTATTTACATCATTTGGGAGGAGTGTGTGGCAAAAAGTGAATTCAGGTGCCAATTTCACTGAACAAAATACCTCTAAAATGCATATGGAGTTAGACAGCCAAACTCAGAAGACAGCCTCAAGAACAGAAAATTCTGCAGTGAATTAAGGTTTTCAGCTACTGCTTCCAAAAGAGAAGCCCTTTTTGTAGTTAACTCTCCCAAGGCATTCCCCCCAATCCTGGCAACAGAAATTCAGCACCACAATTTTATCCTCATTTCCTTCTCGCACCTTTGGAAAAGACTAGTTCCTTTACGAACCCATTACACATAGCTTAGGCTTGTGTTAGTTTCGTACTAGCACACCTATGGACCTCACAGATGACATCTAATTTCGTGATAAAACCTTGGAAAAAATGTGTATGTTTGAGGTCTCCTTGGGAAGGCAGTACTTACTCATCTATCTCAAAATAAAAAGTCAACAAGAATTAGCCCTCAAACAAATAAGACACTCACTTCTTCCATCTCCTGAAAGATGAACCTTGCCCTAAAAGGAAAAAAAAGTTCACTGAAGCCTTTGATATTGAAAAGTTTACTATACTACTTCTCATATATGCACTAATCAGAAGACTTTATTAATAGTAAAATATTTTTATATAATTTTTAGAAATTATCTGATTAAGTAAATAACGAATTTAAAGCATTCTGATCGTGGGGTTTTTTTTGATGTTTAATACCAAAAAACTTTTATTTTCTGGCTCATCATATCTCTGCTGTCCCCAGCTTCACAACTTCAGTGGGTGAGAGTAAGGGGCGAAGTAGTCAGTCAGTCACAAGGGATAATTATACTTGACACAGCTCCACAGTAGCTAGTCCAGTGCTGAGCACACAATATGCACTTGTAAAAAATTGTGAAACTGAGCAAATACAATAGGGCAAGTAACACAGGGAGTAGTTATTCATTTATTCAACACATGTTTACCCTGCGCCTACTTCAGCCTAAGCAGTATACCAGGCACTGGGGAAATAAATTAACAAGAAGGGCACAAGTCTTGGCTCTCAGGTAAAAATCAAATCAGAAAGAGGAGACAGATATTAAATAGCCGTGATAAGCTCCATATCTGAGAGGTGCCAGTGCTGTGAAACAGAAAGGGAGTTCCCCCTTAGTCTGGGAGTAAGGAAGTCAAGGAAGGCTTTCTGGAGGAACATTTAAGCTGAGACCTCATAGAGGGCTGGGAGAAGAGTGTTCGGAGCGTGTGCAAAGTCCCCGAGGTGAGAAGGAACATCATGGCTAGAGTGTAATGGGACTGGGGGATGCTAAGAAAGGAAGTGGATTAAGTACACATCGGATCTTGCAGTGCTCTCCAGAAGTGATAAGGACTTTTTACTCTATTCCAATGAAATGGAGAGTTTTTGAAAGGTGGTCAGCAGGGGAATCACCTGATCACATTTAAATTTGTAAACCATCATTCTGTCTCTACTCTTTACTCTTTAACTCTCTACTCTACTCTCCACTCTCCCTGGTCATACAACCTGTATCCTTTCATATATCTAAGTGCACAACAGTTATTCAGTGAATATCTCCTAAGAAGTTTGAAGGCCTGACTGGCAAGTGTCTTCGAAACTGTGGAACAGAACTGCCAAGACTCCCATTTGGTTTGTGTTTCCCTGGTACACACCAACCCTAAATTTTCAGAGTGACCAGTGATGGCCACGTACTAAAATGGCACACGTGAGAGGAACAAGAGTTGAGGCTGTCATCACTTTGTTGAAGAAACAAGATCAGTTATGGTCACTGCCCATCAACCGCCTCCATCTTCCTCTACCCACAGAACTAACCTATGGCTTCTGCTTCATAGATACAAGTTAAGCCGTCCTCTTCTCCCCAGTGCCAGCCTAGAAAACTCAGCGGTGAAGTTCATATAGCTTCCAAACATCTAGAGGGTGCAGGGCACACCCACAGGTTTATTTCTTTCTCTTTTCTTTTCTTTTTTTTTTTTTTAAAGATTTATTTCTCTCCTGAGTTTGGAATCAAACTGCTCAGTACCCAAAAACCTTTGGTTAGAACACTGCTGCAGTCAGAATGTTGCCCTAGATTTTAGGGAAAGAGACAAAATAATAGGGAACAAAGAGAAAAGGAACAAGGAAAAGCCCTACTTCAAGTTTCACTAGTTTTCCAAGTTCATACCTTTGCAGCCAGCCGACACTCCATCACCCTGATGTTGAAATGCGAAGTTGCTGCCTTATTCATTTCCACACAACTGTTGGCAATCACAAACACTGCTCCGCTTGGGAGTTTCACATCAGTTGCCCTCAAAGGACTAAATTCTATCAACTTGGCCTATTGGAGGAAAAAAAAAAAAGATAGGTGAGATGAAATGTATTAGAATTCAGAAAATGTTTAATCATTTGTGCACTTACTTATCTTAGTAAAATGTTCCCCCCTGAAATACATTCATTCATTTAAATATTATTTATTGAATTCCAGGCACTGTACTAGGCACTGGAGATACAAGAGTGAACAAGACACTGTCCCTGCACTCAGACAGCTTACACTCTAGTGGGAAAGGCAGTCAAGTCATCTAATACATTACCAGGTTGTGTTATAATGATAGCAAAGCACAGAGCACTATGCAGACACACAGCTGTAGCACCTCATCAGACAGAGCCTAGTGCAGCCTCCTCTGAATAAAAGACAAATCTAAACTAAGTCTTAAAGGATGAGCAAGAGTAGGGCAGACAGAGGGGTTCTTTACCCAAAGAGGATGTCAAGAAGAGGGAGAGAAAGTGCAAGTTCCGAGGTAAAAAACAACATGAGGTGTTCAGTAGAGTTTGGACAACTGAAGTTGAGCTGGAGCTTAGCGTTTGAGGGGTGAGGAGTGGGGGGAGGGTAGGATGGAGGGGTAAAGTCAGGGTCAGATTGTGAGGTGCTCTGCAAGCACAACACATCTGGACTGTGTTTAGACTCTCTAGCTAACTTGTATCAGCATCACTTGGTCTCTTGCCATCACTCCTACTTGTCAGGTCTCATCCAAAACACCCAGAGTATTTTCTTAGCATTAAACCGAAGTTCCTCATGCCTCATGTCTTTGGCTTAGGGGAATCAACAACAAATACTCTTAATAAGAAGAAATCCAGGTATTCTTGGAAAATAGCCAAGCCTGTTGGAAAACCAAGTAGAGATTGTAAAGAAATGTCTGTTTCTATTTTGGAAATGAGATGTTTACGGCAACTAGGAGAACCTCTGCTCTGCCCACGGGAGTTGATCGCCAAGGGGAAGCAGTACTGGCAAAGGAATTCATTCCTGGCTTCCTGTCGACATTCTTTCCCCCACCACTAAAGCCCCAAAAATGTTGACAAAGAAAAATGATACCAAAGAGTAAATTATAACAAGAGGGGTTGTGAATATATGTGGTAAGAGGATGAACATTTGAGTTTAAAACCAACAAGAGATTATGAAAATGCCATGAGATGAAATGATTTGAGATAGGACCAGGAAAGGAGGTCCCAGTGACTAGGGAGTTGAGAAATCTCATCCTAACAATGAATTAGAAGAAAGAAAAAAACTCAGGCACATGAGAAAAACAGACTCGAGGTATGATTCTGGAAGCTTAAGGGAGAGGTGATCAACAAGAAATGGAGTAGGTGAACTGGTGATAGCCTTGAATTACAAAGCAGTTGAGAAATACTGTCGTACCATAGAGCCTAATGGAATCAGCTGCCCAGGAACAAACACAATGGGGATCTCAAAGCCTTCCTCTCTGTGTGGACTTTCCCTAGTTGATATTTCCAAATAGCTCAATGCCACCTACAGTTCCTTCTTCTGCAAGAAACGATATGGACTGGTCCATCCCGCCTCCTTCTGTGCCAATGTAACGCTCGCTCTTGGCGCAGATTTCTGCAAGTTCCACCTGGAAAAGTAAAAATTGATTTGCACCGTGAGTATGGTCATAATCTATTGCTCATTCATTTCCTACTCCAGACATGACAGATGGCTTTGAATTCCAGGGCCAACTCTGATCAATTGATAGTAGCTGCCTGCAGCTCTTGGTCAACAAGAACGCCAAGGCCATTGAGCTCAATAGGAAAACATACCAAGATCAGTTGATGTCTGCTACAGGATGGAATGAGATACACACTGTGCATGCCACCTACAGCCTCGACCCTCAGTATCCACAGGGGGTTTGTTCCAGGACCCCACAGGATACCAAAATCCATGGATGCTCAAGTTCCTTAAATAAAATGGCAAAGTACTTACATAAAACCTATGTACATCCTTTCTTGTACTTTAGATCATCTCTAGGTACTTATGATACCTAATACTATGTAAATGTATGTAGCTAGCTGTAAATACAATGGGAATGCTATGTAAATAGTTGCCGGTATGTGGCGAACTCAAGTTTTGTTTTTAGAACTTTCTGGAAACTTTTTTTGGAATATTTTTGATCCACAGTTGGTTGAATCTTCAGGTGCAGAACCCAAAGATACAAGGAAGGCTGGCTGTATTTGCTGTCCTCTAAAAGATTCCACAGAGCCAAGTTTCTCCCATCTCTCTGTGTGATCCATCCCTCTCTAGAATGGCATCACCAAAAATCTCACATGGGCACTCATTCATTTCTGCTTCAGCTTTGTTTGTCTCCCAACAGTGGACTATTTCACAATTTCCCCACAGCCAAAGTGGGGTCATCCAACCTTATTTTCCTGTCCAAAAGTAATGCTGTCTTTATGGCATTTCCATTAAACGTAAAAATCAGAATTAGTGTCATCTCATCAGACACATCTTCCTCCAGTCAAGATGAAGAGACCCAATACACGAACACTTTTGTTTGTTTGTTTTGTGTTTTATTTTTGTTTTCGTTTTAATTGAAGTATAGTCAATTTACAACGTTGTATCAATTTCTGGTGTACAGCATAGTTTCAGTCATACATATACACATACATCTTCCTTTTCATATTCTTTTTCATTATAGGTTACTACAAGATATTAAATATGGTTCCTTGAGCTATACAATAGAAACTTATTGTTTATCTACTTTATATGTAGTAGTTAGTACCTGCAAATCCCAATCTACCACAAACACATTTCTAATCCAAACTGAAAATGTCAAAATATCTGTTTAAGAACCTTCAGTGGATTCCTATTGATTAATGAAATAAGCTCAAATTCCTCAACCTGTTATTTCAAAGCCTTCCAGCATGCACAACCAATCTGCATATGAAATCGTATTATCTTCTACTCTTCCAATTATATGTGTCTCCATGACCCCCTCACACATTTATGTAACCTGGTATTATTTCCTCTCTTCTCTCATATGAATTCTATTGCCATTCGATATCAGCTTATTGGCTGCCTGTTATGGGCACATCACTGGTGGCCACTCAAATCTTCCACCATAGAGTCTTCTTCAAAGACTAGTCCCACTATGGCATTCTGTTTCTCTAAACTCTTATAACAGTTAGAGCTAGTATCATCCATTTACTCACTCTACTATTCATTCATTCTTTCTTTTTTTTCCTTTTTTCTAAGCCTTGCTTCAAGGCTTTATTTCTCACTTGTTTTACTGGAAGCTCTTCCTAGAGCAATCATTCGGAAGCACTGATATAATCATCTCTTGCCTTTTTGGTTGCCAGTGCCTAGATGAGCATATTCTCAGCATGGTCCGCAATACTCTAATGACTTACCCTTGCTCACATCTCCAGCCTGCTCTCCCACCATGAACCCCATAAACCCTAGGCTCAGAGCACTAAAAATGCTGTTCTTCATCACCTCCAGGCTCTCTCATCTCTTAGTGCCTGTAAAAGTGTGATTCTCTGCCCTCCTCACTCAGTAGTCCTCTCTCCAGCATCCTCCACTAGTCATGAGGATCAACTCAAGCATCACCTCTCCCTGGAGTCGCACCAACACCCAAATGCACACACACCACGTCGTCCCTCCTCTGCACTCCCTGGATGGAACTCTACGCTCATTGACAAAACAGTGCTTTAAGTGTGGGTTTCCTTGTGTCTTTAACCACCGGTCTATGAGAATCCATGCAGGGCCCAGACCAGACCCACTTAACTGAAGTGACTGAATCACACAGTGTTTACTATCATTCTTTAAGTGTCGCATTTCAGTCACATCTATTTGCCCCAGAAAACTGTCAGTCCTGTGACAGACAGATAAAGAAGGTGCTTCTTTTGTGTCCCCTACCTCACACAGTGCCAAGCACAGAGTAAATAGTCTGCGCTTGCTGCTTTCACTTTCTGAGAACAGCTGCCCAAGCATCATCTGACAGATTCTGTAAGTGTCATCTTCCTTGATGGATTCACTAACATTAACTTCGCCTCGTGACATGAGGCACTTTGACATAAGGGGCATCGTGCATGGCCTGCTGAACACGCCAGCGCCAGAGACCTTCCCTAATAGGCACATTAAAAATAAATTAGTAAGCAGAAGGTCAAAACACTTGGATTTTAAAATGTAAAGAAACAAGATACCCAGGTGAGGAATGCCGTGTGGAAGGAGGAGACCTATATTACCAAACAACTGTGACCGGGTGCTAATGTGAACAGTCCCCTCCCCGCAACAGCAGGAACAGTCGTATGTACACGCTCCATACCAGGCAGACTCTCCTTTAGGCCTCCAAACAGCCCTCTGCTTATCCTCGTTATACCGATGAGGAAAATGGGACTTGGAGACGCACAGCAGAAAGTGGAGGAGCCAGGATTTGAACCTCATCTGTCTGCCTCCAAAGCCTGTGTCTTTTCACACTGGACTCTATTAATCTCCCCACATCCCCTGACCTTCCCCGGACAAATGGAGATAACATAATCTATTCTACACTACCTCAGAGATGTGAAATGACAAATGAGAGCACCAAAATTGAAGTATTTGCCCTCTAAAGAGGAAAGAAACTAATGCAGCAAGAAGTAGCTTACTATTTTTCAAAGTCTCTGACTGTATGGCAACAACTGTATACTTTAACAAGAATAGGATGTTCATTTTTCTAGACTATCTCGACAAAATTCAGAGGACTCCAGGGGATCCCAGCATCAAGGGCGGTGGACGTCCCTACACTTTGCTGCTGTCTCTGATGCTGAGTTCTGACAGATGGATCTCATTACTGAACAGACTACACCCAGGAGTTCTAAATATGAGGAAACAAAAAGAAAATGAAGATAAGAAACTTAAAAGAAAGGATGACTCATTTTACAGTCCCCCAGAAGACATGAGGAATTCAGTAGTAAATACAGAGGAAAGAAAAAGTACCAGAAGTTTTCAATTCTTGCTTAAAGCCCCAACTCTCCTGTCAACTAGCTATGTGACCTTAGACAGACTGCTTAATTTTTCTGAGTTTCCATTTCTTCATCTATAACAATAACAGTTTTCACAGTTGGGATTTATTGACCACCTACTATGTGCCAGGTACTGTTGTTATTGTTTTACATGAATTAATCATTTACTTCTCGTGTAAGACCGTGTAAGATAGGTATCTCCTCCTCATTTTACAGATCAGGAAACTGAGTAGGTTTATTAGCTGAAACTAGGCTAGTAATTACCAAAGCTGAAATTCAAACTCAACTTCTCTAACCCCAGAGCACATACTCTTAATCACCATGCTGTATCACCTCCCACCCACAATATGGGAAAAAATACCTGCCTCCCTGGCTGTGGGATTATTGTGATTGTCCAATGAGTTAGATAAAAACATCCCCAAAACTCTAAAGAAGTAAACACCTTTTAATTTGATTATTTTTACAAAATGAATAAAGAATCATTTGATTTACACGAGTAAGTAGCTAAATCTCAAGCCAAATGTTAAAACAGGTATAATTATTCTGGAATTCAGGACCATTTTTTAAACTGTTCAGGGAAAGAGAGAACTTAAAAGATTCTAGATGCTCGAGAATCAATTCAGCAATAAGGAGTAATGGAGCTTGAGACAAACAGGAGAGTGTGTGTTCCATTTAGAACATTTCAGTCTAAACTTTGGGGGTGGGCGGAGAGGGGAATCCCTGCCTGCCAAACAAAACATGCTTGTAGTATAAACTTGAACTGCAGGCCCACAAGTTGGCTCTCCCAGTGGCCCTAACCCTTCACCCACATGCTAAAAGCAAAAAGGTCAAATCCTAAATGGTTATTAGATGAGATGAAACTAGAAACAAAGTTTTTCTAAGCCTCAAATCCTGTGTTTAAGGAAAAACCTGCATGCTTCTGACAATAAAGGAAAACTCAGAACTAGGCCCAGAACCTTAGCCGGAGATGGTATGCCCTCAACTCGGAGAACCAATAATAGAGGGATCTGAGCAGCAGGGAATGTAAGTGGGGGCCGAGAATGCCTGTCATTCTAGGTGATGTGAGGGAGCAGGTACATCCCGGCCTGCCTCTCCCTTTCTGTCTTTGAGGACACTGGAAATAGAACCAGAAAATGTCCTCCCAGAGTTGTACTCAGGCAGAGTGACTTGCAAAGACACTAAATACTTCATATACACTTGAATTATATAAAATATCAACAGATTTCATGAGAATAAGAAGGACATGTTAACAAAAGTGTATGGAAAGAAGCCTACTGGAAGTTAACTTCAAGAACAGACAGAATCAAATTCGAGGACCCAATTCTATTTAGCAAAGGACAAAGTCATCTTTTGCCCTGATGCCTGAGGGATTCTGAGGCTCACCCACTTCTGTTCCCCACCCCACAAACACACACAAACACACACACAACCTGAGAACCCTCAGGCAAGAACAGCAAAACTCCAACCCAAAAGGAATTCATTCCCCTTCCACCAATGTATTTTCTTCTGCTCCTACTCCTGAGCGCTTCCAGAACCCCAGGTACCTCCAAATTACTAGTCACTTGTGGCATTTAGCTCTATCCTTTCCTGCAAAATACTAATGTCTGAGGACCATTAGGGAAGACAATTTGACTAC